TATATATATATATATGTATATTATTGTATGTATTGAGACTAGTGATGAAATAACATAACACTAAGATAACAATGTGGCACAATCACTTAGTTGAAAATTGAAATGAATTGTGAATGGTCATATAATTCGAGCATTTCTTTTAAAATATAGAAGTTCATATTCTTTTTAATGTTAAATGTAAGAAAATAAAGTGACTATTAAATATGAGTGTATATAAAGTCACTCCTAGATGGAATTGGTTAGGAAAACAAAGTGCCCGCGCATGATATATAAATGTGAATGAAAATGAAGAACGAGGCCCACCTTTTTAGTTGGTTTGTAAAAGATGAAAATATATGTTTTAATAGAAATAAATGAAATTAAGTAGAAAATAGTTTTATTTACTGGTTATTTTTTACTGCTCACAATTGTTTTACTGTCTACAAGTTTTTTAAAAAATAAATAATAAAATTAAAATTAAAAATATTTAAAAATATTTTTCCGCCAAGTGATTTCTCAAACCTGAAATAACTAATATTTTATAGAAAAATCAACTATAAGATAGATGTATTACAGAGAGTGTGTGGACAATATAGCTTAATAAGTACTTTATTTCAATTTTTATTTCATGTTAGTTATAATCAAAACCTATAGAAACTATTGTAAAATTTAATTTTATAATTAAAGTGCTTTTTTTATTTCATTTTCTTATGAAATGAAACTCATGGAAAGTTTGTCTCTTTCCAACCGTCAATTTGCACTTTGATAATTCAAGCTCCCGGTTTGGGTCGTGGAAAAATAAACTAGCAAAATCATTTAAATCTAATATGTTAAGAAGATGATTTATTAGATTTTCTTTTCAGAGGTGCTTGCGATTTAAACAAGAATTTGATTAGAAATGGCAAAAATATTTTATTTCATTTATTAAACAATTTAAAATTTGGTTATATTTATTTTACTAAAACTAAAGATGAAGTTTTTGACATGTTTAAGAAGTGTAATGTGGAAGGAGTAGAATATGCTTCACTTTTATTTAATAACTTTTGTGAAGAGAACAATATTAACATCAAGCTACTCCTCCATATTCACCATGATCTAATGGAGTGACCAAACAAAAAAAATATAATGTTAATTGATATGATAAATGCAATGTTAATATCTTCAAATTTACCAAATAATTTAAAGGAGAAACTTTATTAACAACTTATTTTATCTCAAGTATTTGAATACCTTACAAGGACTCTAATAAAATGACATGATTTTTGGAAAAATAGAAAACCCAATTTAAAGTACTTAAGAGTTTGCAAAATCTTTTGATAAAAAAATTATCAATATAAATATTTATAATAAATAATGACGATAATTTTGATCAAAATAATGAAAATGTTATAAAAAGTAAGAGAATTAAAAAAAGAAAATATAAGTAATGATTTTTTTTTCTATATTAACATAAATATTCATTTTAGAAAATGTTCCTATTTTATTTGCTGAATCTATAAATTTTATATATGGTTCTTTTTTGAAATAGACGGTCGATAATTATATATATTACATTTTATCAAATAAGACTTTGATGCTTTACAATTTGCCTTCTCGTTGTAAACTATAAATTAGATGCAAATGAATTTTAAAAAAGAAATTATAATAATATGGATCAATAGATAAATATAAAAGCAATATTAGTACCTAAATGATATACAAAAAATATGGAGTTGATTATTTTGATGTTTATTTTCAATTTGTAGGAATTTCAATGATCCAATTACTTTTAGCTTTATTTTCAACATATAATTTAGTTATAAATACTGCATTTTTAAATTGTGATTTACATGAATAAATTTATATTTATCAACTTGAAGACTCTAAAGTAAAATGTCATGAAAATAAAGTTTATTAAATAATAAAATCTTTGTATGGATTAAAACAATCTCTTAAACAATGGCATGTAGATTTTGATGAATTAATACTATCATATTATTTTTTTATTAACAGTTCTGATGAATATGTTTTTATTAAGAATGTTGATAATAAATATTTTTTTTATGTATTTGTGTTGATGATCTCTTAATTTTTTTATATGGATCTATATATTATCAATTATGAATGATATTCACGATTTCGTATCAACTCAATTTTATATGAAAGATTTAGATGAAATTAATATAAATCTAGATCTAAAAATTAATAAAAATGCAAAAAAATTTCTATTTTACAACCGCATTATATATATATATATATATATAAACTCTATATGAAATTTAATTATTGATATGTAAATCCCGCAGACACTCAATATAACTTTAACATCTTATTAAAACTTAGGGTGATGGTGTATTCCAATTAAAATATTCTCAACAATTAGTTGTCTCGTGCATCTAGTTAATTCTTCTCGACCCAATATTGCATGTGTTGTAGGAAAAATGAGTATATATATTATTAACCCAAATGAAACTCATTGAAATGCAAAAAACAAAATTTGTTAAATATTTAAATTGCTCAATAAACTATTGTATTCCTTATTGTGATTTCTCTATTGTACTAAAAGGATATTGTGATGCAAGTTGGATTATCGACAATAATGATGCTAGAGTCATTAGCAGTTATGTCTTCATATTTTGTGTTGGTGCAACATCATAAAATACTACTAAGGAAACACTAGCATCTACATCCACTATAAAAGTAAAATTTAGTGGTTATGTTGATTTTTTAAGATTTTATCTTATAATTGGATCCTCTATGGAGCAAAATCATGTTATTTTATTTATTGTATAAGGTGAGTACATATATGTAGATAATGGTGTCGCTCAGATTCTTTGGTCAAAATAATCACTTGAAGAATATGAACGCATTTTAATTAAATGAGATAGTATTGTTGTTATTTGTTTAACTAACAAATTAAATTCAAACACTCACACACTAAACATATGTGTGTGTGTGTGTGTGTGTGTGTGTGTGACTAGTAATAATTAGGTAATAAGCCAACATAACGGCACGTTGGATGGAGCCTTCTACTCGAGATTATTATTAGTAATATGGTGTTGGATGCACTTTCTCGTATTCTTGGTGATTTTTTAATATTCATTTTATCAGAGCGCCTCATAGTTTTGTGTAATGATTTGAGTGAGTTATTTTTCATATGACGGTTCTTAAGGTTTTTTCAATCTTATGTGAGTCGTGTTTGTTTTATGTCGGGTGCGGTAGGACTTTCATCTGTTTTTTTAATATTTTTGTGATTAACATAATTTCCTACGAAATTATATATATATATATATATTATAAGAAAAGAAAATTATTTACAGAACTTATGACAGAGCTTTCAAATATTCCTGATTTCTTAAAAAAAACAATTGATGTTATATAATGTAAACTTATCCAAGAATCCTACAATGATTAGTTCATTCATTTCTATGAGTGAGCAATTCAGAGCTCCGTGGATGGGAAATGAATCAGATAAATTGGTCTGATTAGTCATTTTTATTAGTGGATTGATTACTCTAAGTTGCTTATTCTGTGCTTTTAAAAAGTATTATTTCATATCAAACAACACCTGCATTTAAGTTCAAGAAAATCAAGCTTTTAGAACTGTCGAGTGAGAACACTGCTTCAACTCACTGCAATGCATTGGATGGATATTCTGATGCTCTTTTCTATGCGCTAGTCTTTATGTTATTTATTTACTCGTTTCTCTTAACTTGTGGTGCTATTTTATTGCATGTTGTTATATCGCAAATTACGAATGGACGCACCAGCCATCGTCTGCAAATAATTTATTTTACTTTACAGACAACTAATCAGTTTCAAATAACTCCTAAATACCAAAAAATACAAATTTGAATACCAGTGAGCAGCTGTAACCGACATCATATTTGATCACTTATTGTACGAGGGCTTTTGGTGCTATAGAAAAAATATCATAACTATGGAACAAAAATAACAATAATTGCCAATTACTGACACCAACCTATCTTTAGAGTCCGTTTGGGGCAGCTTGTGTATTTCAGGATAAGCTGCTTATCCTGAAACGCGGCCCGCGGGCTGGTCGCGGGAGTCGATCCGCGGTCTGCGTTTAGTGTAAAAACCCAAACACAATTTCGGATAAGCTGACGAAACGCGCGAACAAAAACTTACGCTTATAAACTGCCCCAAACGGACCCTTAGTTACTATTATTAACTCATTATAATCCGTCGTCGCTGTTAGCCACTGCAAAAAGCTTCATATTAAATTCAATTAAAGTTATATCGATTAAGATAATATTTCCTTACATTCATTTTATAACCAAATAAATACCATCAAAACATTCATTCTATACTATTTTTAAATACTTCAAAAATTAAAAAATTATAACCCAATGAGCTGTAGAAAAATTAATAAAACTCAGTGCACATCAAATATGTATTGTTACCAATTTACCCATAATCTCACTTTTCAAATTTTAAATGAGTCATTTGGCCTGTTCCTTCACTAAAAAATAAAATGGATAACTTGCGATGAACATCGTCGTAAAGCATAGGAGCGTAAGACGGTAAGAGAGTCAAGTCGGTTCATGAGCGTCTTTGGCTCAACTCGATAAGTATCTCCTCAGCTGAGATTGATGAGCAAACAACCCAATATCAAATTAGCCCTGACTCGACTCGTTCGCCGGTAAGCCGATTAATTTAAAAAAATTATGATGAAATATACTCAAAATATTATAAATTATAATAATTTATTTTCAAATTATTAAAAATATTTTTAAAATAATATTTTATATTTTATATCAATTAATATTTCATTATTTATATCCCAATTATTCGTTGTACCTATATAATATATATATATATATATATATTTTTTAGGCCCACTGTTTCCGGATTAAAAAAAAAAACAAAAGTACTAAAAGAAAAAGTTCTCTTAAAAGCCGGCACCCACCAAACGCTGCTCCCCCTTCCTCTCTCCGTCCTTCAATTCCGCAACTCGCTCCCACTCTCTCTCTCTCCAACGCCAAATCCCTAAATCCCTTATCTATCTCCCCATCTTTCTCCCCCAAATTCCCCGGCGAAACATTCTTCCCGCAACAATGCACAGACAGTCCGACTCCGATTTAACGAGCCTCGCCGCCTCCTCCCCGCCTCGATCTCCCCGCCGACCAGTCTACTACGTCATGAGCCCTTCCAACATCGACAACGAGAAGCTCTCAATCTTCGGCTTAAGCCCCGGCGGATCCCCTGCTCATCAGCATTACCACCCCAATCCGACCCACCACCGCTATGCCAGCTCGCCGATCCACCATTCTCGAGAATCCTCTACCACCCGATTCTCTGCCTCGCTTCGAAATGGGTATTGGCGTAAGGTTCCTCAGGAACTGCACGTCGGGGATAAGGAGGTGGAGGAGGAGGAGGAGGATGAAGAAGAGGAGAGATGGGGCTTTCGATGCTATGCTCTGATGTTCGTCATCGGATTCTTTCTGCTGTTTAGCCTCTTCTCGATCATTCTCTGGGGTGCAAGTAAGGCTTACGAGCCCAAAATCACTGTCAAGGTTCTTCATCTCCTTCCTATCTATCATTTTTCCCCTGTTTTGTTCTAGATTTCATGGCTTGTTGGCGCTGGTTTTATTATTTTTTTAAATTTCATTTAAAATAAGATATTTGATTCTTAGCTTTAGGTTATACAGGTAATTATAATATTTTAATTCCGACAAGGTATCTTATTTCCGTAGAACACGGTAAAGGGGCGGAAATTAGATCAAGCGCCCATTTTTTTATTTTTATTTAATATTTATTTTTGAGAAATGTGCAAGCGGAAGAGCATTCTCCTAACGGATCTTTGCTACAGTTAATGCCATTTTTTAAAAATTTCTATTTTTATAAATAATCTAATCACCTTGAATGAATCCATCTTAAATTTAATATAAGGCTTTTAAAATTAAAAAATAATAATAATATGAAACATATTTTTATGCGCTTATGTATTAATTAAACATATTAATTTAAAAATAAATTAGTTTATCTTTTAAAATATTCAAAATATTATTTTGATTTTTTCTCTAATTATTATTCAGATGTTATTGTATGTTATTCAAGTGTTATTAATGTATTATTTTGTTATTATAATACCGGAAATATTCTCAAAACACAACACAATAACATCTCAATAATATATAATAGCATTTTAATAATACATAATAATATGGGGGGAATATTGTGGTGTTATTGGGCCAATTTTTATTTTTGTTCAGGCACCGTCACGTGACATGATTTCATTGGACTCCGAATGATTCTCTACGGTAGTAGTCTTGACATAATAGGTGCTCTTAAAATTGCATATTCATTTATGATTTTGTTACACCAATAATGATATAATTATAAAAAAATCAAATTTCAGAGTCTTTTATATGTAAATTTCCCTTTTGTAAAATGTTTTCTGAAGAATATGAAATTAAGATTTTGCAGAGCCTGGTGTTCGAGCGATACAACATCCAGGCCGGAATGGATTTCACGGACGTTCCCACAAAAATGATCTCTCTTAATTCAACGGTCAAGATGAGGTTTCGGAACCCAGCGACGTTCTTCGGCGTACACGTGTCGTCCACTCCGTTGGTGCTCTACTACTACGATTTGGCGATCGCGTCTGGCCACGTAAGCAATCTGATTTAATACTCTTTTTCTATTCTAGTCTACAGTATTTAACGTATGGCTGGGCATGCGCGCGTTAGTTTTAGGTTAGGCATCAGTCTTGAGTCTACACTGTACACTGTACAGACTCTGACAGAACTGGAAAGGGCAAGCAAAAAGGCTTTGTTTTTTTTTCATGAAAAAGGAGATTTTTTTTTTTTTTTTGTATTTATTTTAGCCTTGATGCAACTTAGAGCTAAAATCATTTAGGGGAATTTACATACATAGCACCCAATTCTCATAAATTTACCCATCTGACACCCAAATTTTGTTTTTTACAATATAAGCAACTTCTCGTGTGTGTGAAAGGGTGAAAATAGTGATATCCACATTTTTATGCATAGATTAAGGTGCTTATTATATAAAAATCAAAAATTGGGTGTGATGTAAATAAATGCATAAAAATTAGCTGCTATGTTATGTAAATTTTCCAATCGTTTAATGTAAAATAAATTGAAAACGAAATTTAAAAAAAAATGTGAGATTTACATAGATACTACTAAATTGTTAATGTATTTACATATCTAATGTCTAAATGTCAATTTTCATCTACACAATTTTACATTATTTAAACATTTATATAACTCTTTTTCTAAAATTGTGATGGTTTGAACTTTCATAGATCAAGGTATTGTCTATTTTGACCCATGGGCCTTATGGTTTTGGCTTATTGGTTGGTGTAACTTTAGAGCAGGTCACCATCCTAAGAGAGCTCAAAGATAAGCATGCTTAACCATGAAACTCCATTATTTCACCAAAAAATGCCTTGTTCTTTAAGTGTTCGGCTTCATACTATCCAAGAGGTCTCACAATTTCTCCCTCTTGAGTAGCTGATGTCTGTGTCAATTTTCTGACCCACAATCACTATCATACAGATAGAATTCTAAATGTGACCCCTACAGATATTACACTTTGTTCCAACTAAGGTTCAAAAGGGGGCTCTCATGATTTAACACATTGTTATGTATTTCATTTACTTCCCATCTTTTATAATACTCTAATATCATTTATGATAACTCCAACTCTCTCACATCAAGGTATTGTTCACTTTAGCCTAGAGGCCTCATGATGTTTAAGAGTTTCACTTCATTCAAGTTAATTGGTTCCACATATATATGATGGGAAATATATATATATATATATATATATATAATTTTCATACTATCATCTCAATAATACAAAAATCATAACTTCAATAATTTTATATTAACTCTCATACTTTATCGTTCCGCACTAAACACATTCTCTGTATGATGTAGATGAAGGAATTCTACGCGTCGCGGAAGAACGAGCGCATCGTGACGACTGTGGTCCTCGGCAAGCAAGTCCCGGTCTACGGCGGCGGCGCCGCCTTGACCAG